CTTTTTATTGGAGGGCGTTTTTTTCCCTCCACATATGGCTAAAGTTATGTTCACTAAATTATTTGTATATTTTTAAATTTATATTTGCAAGTTTGAACCGAGATGAGATAAGGTTAAAGTTAAGTGCACAATTTTTTTTCCTATATAAATATATATGTTGTTTTTTTATTTTATTCATTTTTGGTGATATATACATCAAATGCAAAAATGCCCTCCAAGTTAAAAGTCAACTGTAACAACTTTCACCCTAACCAGACACAATATTGTCTGTTTTTAGCTCCCTCGGACCAGAGACTTCACAGGAGGTCACCCATCCAGGTACTACTCCAGGTTAAAGGTGTTAAATCTACATATAGCATTTACCTCATCCACACCCAGGCGATGTGTGCACCTATAGCTCGCCCAGTGTGGTAGCCTTATTGGTGCCACCTGCACACGCTCACGCACACCCGCCCACAAGGTCGCCACAATCATCCCCCTTTTGGGGCCCAACGTCTCCGTTGGCCACACCTCCGACTGGGTCAGACTTTATACCATTTGTAACAATCCTCACCCTAGCCATACACAATATTGTCAGCTTTTGGCTCCCCCGGACCAAAGACTTATCAGGGGGCCACCCATCCTGGTATTATTCCAAGTTAAGCACGCTTAACTTCAGTGTTCTAGTAGGTTCACGGTCATTATGGCTTTAAAACGCGTTGTGTCATAGAATGGTGTTAAATATACATATAGCACTTGCCTCATCCACACCCGGGTAATGTGAAATTGTGCACTTGTAGCTCGCCCAGTGTGGTAGTCTACTAATGCTACCTACACACGCTCACACACACTCGCCTACAAAGTCGCCACATCAACTCAAAAATCTTGTTTTTCTAAATTCCTTAAATGAAAGAACTATTGATTTAGGAAGGATAACTTGGTATTTTTAAATAAGAGTTTTCGAAGGTATTGAACCTAAACAATAGTTTTCAATGCATATGTAATTATTTTGTTTAAATCAACCAAATTAAAAAATTAACTTTTAAACTGATTTGTTATTTAGGACTCCTAAATTTACTTAAGTGTAATTTTTCCTAAAGTATATGAGAAGTATCGGATACATAGTTGAAGTATCTAATAAATATCGAACATGTGTTAGAAATTAAAAAATATATTTTAAAATTATGAGTATGTTTAAAAAATATCGAACATGTATACGTGTACATCGCTCTCGTAAAAGTATATGTGCTTCCTAGGCTTGGACAACCTTGGTATCTCTTTTCTTTGTCTTTGAGTTATATATCCATATTCTACTATATATATAATATATATACATACATACATTATACATATATATGTATGTGTGTGTGCGCGCGCGCGCGCCCCCTGTCAACGGATCAAATTCCAATTGCTAATGGGTTATCATATTGAAGTTCCAGTCCATATCCTATTTAGTTTAGATTCGGATTAAAATCATATTCAAAGGTTAGATAGAGTAGAGAATTGTTAATACATAGGAAAATACATAATATAACTATGTAACTAAATAAATATAGTGGTAAATAATTAATATATATAAATTTAATAGTAGATAACTAATATATATATATATATATATATATATATATATATATATATATATATATATATATCGGGAAGGCTCTCATGCGATAACTAAAATTTAATTAGTCAATGACACTTTATTATCTTATCAGACTTAACCATAATTAATAATATTTACTTTAATAGTCAATTTACCATAGTCATTTAATACCTTTATTCAATTTCTTTCCTCCTTAATCTATTCCATCTTCCTTCAATCTCAGCCACTCCCGCCATATTCACACCATCACAGCCATCATCTCCATCATCTTCACCACTACAGCCACAACGCAATTACCATATTCATTCTCCAAGTAATCATTGGTTCATAGATTTGTATCATTGCTTATGAAAAATAAAATAAAAAATAAAAAATAAATAAGAGAGCAACTGTCAATTTGTTCATAGATTTGTAATCATTGCTTATGAAAAACAATCATTGGTTCCTGTAAGATTTGTATCATTCTATGAATCAATGTATCTAACATTGAAAGTACAAGGAACTTGTTTAAGATAGGAATAAAGAGGAGAGAGAGGGAGAATCTTTTTTTGGAAAATTGACTATTAAAGTTAACATTATTAACTATGGTTAAGTCTGATAAGGTAATAAAGTGTGATTAACTAATTGAGTTTTGGTCCGTTATTTTGGACCGCATAAGAGCCTTTCTATATATATATATATATGAAGACAAAGCTTGCTATTCTCGTGAAAGGGACCTTTTAGGAGCATTACTCTTTTGAAAAATAAATATATAATAAAATTTTATAGAAACTCTTTGTAATTTTAATAATATTCCCTCCGTCCCAAAATAAATATCCTTTTTTAGGAATCTAATTTTGGGTTAATAACTTCGAAATCGCATAACTCTAATTTTGGGTTTTCAAATTGAGAGAGTGAGAGTGCATGTAGAGAGTAGAGAAGGGGAGGAGAGAGAAGAAAGAAACACAAGGATCACCCCCCACAAGACCAGGCATCGGTCTTAGCGCCGTTGTAGCCTTTTCGGGTGAAAACCTCCGGCGCAGTTGAAACTATCATCGTCAGAGACAGTGGTGAATTGGTTGTAGATGTAGGCTACGACGGCTGCTACGGTGGTGGTGTTAGGGCCGAAGAGTTGGGCCAATTGGTCAACTGAGCATATGAGGGACGCCATTGTTGGGTCCTAATGAGAGAAAGTTAGTTTGTGTGTCGCCACCAAGTTCTCTCTCTCTCTCCCAAACTTGACAACTTGACAATTAGACTGCCACGTAGATTCTGCCTCAGAAATAGGCCTAAGTTGTCTGCTTGAGTATCACGACCCTTTTTTATTGTATTGGTAATGAATGAATTATTAAATCTTCCATAATGGGTCCATGATGTAATGGTTTACTTTTTTTGGGAAAACTACTTATAGGTAGAGTTAGGAGTCTTAAATAACAAAATGATCTATTTTAAAGTTTTATTTTTCAATTTGATTAAATTAAACAAAATAATTACGAATGCATCAAGAATTATTCATAAGGACCAAAATACCCTCCAAGCTCTTATTCTAAAAAATCAAAATATCCTTCTTAAAAAAAAATTTGACATCAAATTGGATTGTTCGAGAATGAATAACTCTCAATTAGAAGTGTGTGCAGAAAGGTTTATGCTCGATTATTCAAAGTGGGTATGATATGGACATTTATGTTTGTACCAATTTCATTAGGTTGTAACTTGTATGCAATAAATGGTTGCATTGGTATTGCACATAATTTTTTGATGAAATGCCCGAAAAATACTTGGTGTCTTGGAATTCTTTGATTTCGTGCTACTTCTGGGCGGGTTTGCCCTGCCAGACAATAAAGATATATGACTGAATGAGAAATTTGAATTTGGGTTTTGATTGGTTTATTCCTGTGAGCTTGGTCACTTATTGTGCTCATGTGGGTGTATTTAGTAGTGTTGTTCAAATGCAAGATTGGCTAGTGACATGGGTTATTGGACAATGTTTTTGTTGCGAATGCTCTGTAGATATGTATGCTAAATGCATAACCTTGGATAGTGCACTTAGTGTCTTCAATGGGATGCAAAAGCAGAGATTAGTTTACTTGGAAATCAATGATTGTTGGATATGAAACGCATGGTTGTGGAGATCAAGCAATACCATTTTTTAATCAAATGTTGATGGCAGAGTCCAGCCAGATTCAATCACAATTCTTCGTTTACTGTGTGGTTGTATTTACCGTGGTATAGTTGACGAGGGTGTTCGAGTAATTCCACATGATGAACTAAAAATGCAATTTGAAGCCAGAAATGAAGTATTATGGATGCATGGTGGATCTGTTTAGACGAGTTGGAAAGCTTGAAAGACCACTTGGAATTATTAAGAGTTTTTCATTCTCGAACTATTTAATCCGATGACAAATAATTTTTGAAATTAGATGATTTTAAGAAGGATATTTTAGTATTTTTCAATAAGACATTTTGGACCTTAATTATAATTTTTGATGAATTTGTAATTATTTTATTTAATTTAATCACTCTGAAAAGTGAAATTTTAAAATAGACTATTTTGTAATTTTCTTTACTTTTTACAAGTTAAAGGTTAAATTGGTAATGTTACCAAAAATATTGAAAAATGAAAAGGGAAACATTTATTCTAGTGCAAAAGATAGATATAAGATATATATATTTGGGACAACTTTCACATATAAACATATAAAGATCATCCTTTACCTCGGCAGAGGATCTAAATACAGGACTTGGATCTTCAGTTGTGGAGAAGGTCTTTTGGTCTTGTCATGTGCCTTAAAACTACACATTTTAAGGCACAACAATTCACCCTAATTATAACCTTTTAAAAATAAAAATAAAAACTTATCATTATTATATTTATTCTCTCTCCTTCCGTATCCATATCACTCTATTTTCTCCACCCCTTCTTACACCCCACCCTCTAATCATGGCCATCTCCACCTCTTTCACCTCCACCCAGGCCATCACCTCTTCCCTTTCAAGGGGCAATAGCAAGGTATACTAGTTTTAAAAAAAATAAATAAATAAATTCCTGCTTCGTAAGACTGTACACCTAAACGCATATACTCCCTCCGTCCCACTTTAATTGTGAGTCACTGTTCCTAAAATAGAATAATTAAAGTAGGACAAAGGTAGTCTATAAATCTAATTTAAATAAGAATAGATCCCCACAAATACAGTCCTGAATCAAAACATAAAATCACACATTGTTCTTCTCTGTTGCAAATCCTTTAATTTTTTTCAATTAGTTTTCATCACATTGATTTATTTTGAGGGCTAATTAATATTCCAAAAACAAAACAAACTATTTAAAGGAATGGGCAAATACACTGCCAGCTTTGCCTCCAAACCTTAATGTTTTAAGCATAAGATATTCCACTACATTGAGAATGATAAGGGCATGGAATTTGCACACAGTATAACCAACAAAAAAAAAAAAAAAAAAAACACAGTCACAAACTAAACGATGAGGAAACACAGTCACAACTAATGGTTCTCAATTAATTGACAAGTTCTCAATTAATTGATAAGTACAAATTGATAGCAAACTAACAGTACACAACCCAGCTAGAAGCTGAATCCATCAACATCAACCACAAAAACTAATTTAAGACTAAAAAGCATAGCGCACAGGATAGGCGTAATACACAAAACCAAAACCTGAAATTGATAGCTAATTACTAAATTAGTAGTATTAAACTCGACCCTCCCAGAGACAGTCTTGGCTAACCTTGGGTCCATTGAGAAGGCTCTCGATGTCTTTGGGTGGGTTAAGACCCATACGCTGTGCACGCTCCCAACGCCCCAATCTGCTCATCCCACAGCACGGCCCGTACGCCATGTTCATGTCGAATTGCCTCAACACTTCCTCCTTCGCATCGTATTCATCTATCACACACATACATAGATATATTTACATTTAATCAATTACAATATCACTCCTCGAATCAAATCAAATTATGCCATCAATCAATTTGACCATTTCAAAACCCTAGATTTAATATATATATATACACACACACACACATACACAAAGATAGATTAATAATCAGAGATATGAATGAATGAAGAGAGAGACCATTGAGATCGAGAGAACCGTGTGAGATTAGGGTTGGTGGTTGGGCAATGTCTGAGCCGAAAGTGGCCGATTGGTTTGGAGATGCTTTTGATGATCCTTTGGAAGAGGAAGAAGCTTTGCCTCTGGGCTTAGTGATGCCACCGCTCTTCTTCGTCTGCCTGTAGAAACCCTTCACATCACCGCCTTTTCCTCTCGTTGTTGATGCCATTTTTCCTCTGTTTTCTCTCTCTCTCTCTCGTTTCAAAATTTGAAAATATTTGAAATCTTCTGTGTGACGCTGTTAGCGTCTCTGTTTTTATAGGTGTAATGATCATATAATAATCCTCGTCACTTCCCAAAAACCCAAAAGACCCAAAAGGGCTGGGTGTTTGGGTGCAACTCAGATGCGTTGGAGGGGTTAAAAGGGTCAATCCAAGACAACTTTATTAGTAATGTTGTCTAAGTTTTGGATTAAACCTGACTTAGAAGACTAAAAAGAGTATCTGGAGTTTTTTCATGATCCATGGTATCTATCTAATACATTTAAATATTTTTTGTTTTTGAACTCAGATTAGGAAATGAGGCTCTAATCCAGCTGATCTTGGATTAGTTTTGTACGAGTAATTTAAAAAAAAACTATTAAGCAATTCCAAAGGAATTAAATCTAAAAAGTATTAATGTATAATAAATTAAAATTTAAACAAAAGTAAATTGAAAAGAAACCGGTGTTCTTAATTAGAAATATATATATAATATTTAAAATTATAAAATGTACAAAAAAATAAATTAGAATTTCGGCTGAGTGTTTTAAATCCGAATCCAACCCTAATTGTAAATAATAGTTGTTCTAGCTCATAAATAAATAAATAAATAAAGAAGGTTAGTGAAGCTATAACCTTGTAACAATCCAATCGCTGTCTAGATTGGATTCAACACAAAACTTTTAAGTTGTTGAGCCACGCTATCTAGATTGGATTCGACACAAAACTTTTAAGTTGTTGAGCCACGCTATTTACGTGCTCAAGACTCTTTGACACATATCTTATACATATAAATGGGTTAACTTCAGTTACACCCCCTGAGGTATGTACAATCTTCAATGTGACCCCCTATGTTTGCAAAAATTCAATCAGATCCCCTGTCAGACATTATCGGCTGACAAAAAATAATAAGTGAATGAAAAGACTAAATTGTCCTTTTGTCGTTTTCCAATATACACTTAACTAAACCAAAGTTTGTATAACTTAAACCCAATTTTGTTTTATCTTGCGAACCAAACACCTTGTAATCACAATGGCCAAACACTTGAATCCACTTTACTTCGTTAACCCAAACTTAGGTTTTGCAATTTCATTTTGTCGACTAACCCTAGATAGAGAGACAGAGAGAAGAAATAACAGAGAGATATAACCCTAGGTTCGTATGTGAAGACATCGATTTTGGTTGATACGTACACCGAATACGCTTGATCAAACAACATATCTGCAGATAGTTGAAGGTTCGAAGGGGAAGCATTTGTTTGATTTGAAGTTGTTGAGAAAAAATCACAATTTGGAGGTATGAATTTTGTCTTTCTAAAAATTGATTTTGGTTTTATTTGATAAGGGGTTTCGGGTTTGTAAAAATGAGTTTCTTTTTTTAGTATTTCTTTGTTTGGTTGTTTTGGTTTGGGGGTTTAAGGTTTGTTAAATTTATATCTGTAATTTAAGATCTTGATTTGGGAGTTTAGGGTTAGTTTTTGAGTTTCTTTGTTCGGTTTGTTAAATTTGTTGAATTTTTCGATTGTCTGTAAATTTAGGATTTTGATTTTTTTTTAATTTGTCTGTAAATTGTTCGATTTGGGGGTTTTATTTGAAAATGCATGAATTTGTTTAATTTATATTAAAATGTCTGTAATTTGAAAATGCATGAATTTGTTCAATTTGTCTGTAATGTCTTTGTTTCAATTAGCCAGTGCCTTATTTATGCCCCTTTTTTTTATATATATTTCTTGTTATTTGAATTATTAACTGTAATACCCATAATTTTAAAAAGGATATTCCTGGTATATAATGGTATTTAATTTATTATTTAAGTGCATTTTATTTGATTATGTGTCATTATTTTTTTTTTATTAGGTGCTTAATTGTTTTCTTTTGTGGTGATTTAATTTATTTAAATGACATTTATTTTTAGTTATTTGATTGGAATTACTTGTTAGTGTTTTAATTATTTAATTGGCATTAATGGTTTAAGTGTAATTGGTTTACTTATTTGATTGGAATTACTTGTTAGTGTTTTAATTATTTAATTGGCATTAATGGTTTAAGTGTAATTGGTTTAATTATTCTATATGTGTCTTATTTTATGTGTGTCTTATTTGGTTTAATTGGGTTTACTAATTATTATTTTGTTCAATTAGATTATTTGTCAAGTATTTAATGGTGAATAGGGTAATTAGGTAAATACATCTAACTAGGGTTTAATTACAATATAAATTAGGGTTTTATATTATAGCCGTCGTAGGCTTCTACGTTAATTGGATGGGCCGGTTAGGATTGTGAGTTGGACTTAAATGAACTTAGGGTTTAGGAAAACTCTATAAGTATAAGGTAGACGTCTGTGTAGGGTTTTTTTAAAACAAAACACACGTTTTGTGGAAGTGGAGAAGGAAAAACGCCGTTTTTCACATTCTGCTAAGGTGTGATCAAAGGTTCGATCCCGCTTCGTCCGTTGTCCGATCGAGCTGAATTTTGGAGGAGAGGTTCACGACTCAGTGACGCACAATCTGAACGGTGGAGATCAGAGTTTGACCTCGGGAACAGTGATTCGTACTCGTGAACAGTAACTGGATCGCACAGGTTTTTTCCATTCTGCCCAGATTTCATCAAACATCCGATCCTGCTTCGTCCGTGGTCCGATCGAGCTGAATTTTGGAAGAGAGGTTCATGACTCAGTGACACACAATTTGAACGGTGGAGATCAGAGTTTGACCTCTGGAACAGTGATTCGTACTCGTGAACAGTAACTGGGTCGCACAGGTTTTTTTTCCATTCTGCCTAGATTTCATCAAACATCCGATCCAGCTTCGTCCGTGGTCCGATCGAGCTGAAATTTGGAGGATAGGTTTATGACTCAGTGTCGCACAATCTGAACGGTGGAGATCAGATTGTGAGTTCGGGAATAGTATTTCATACCCGTGAACAGTAACCGGGTTTTGGAACTTGCCGGGATTTTTTTTAGAAGACGACGTTGAAACTTTGAACAAAAGTTTCTGAGGCAAGATTCTATCCTTACTCTTTCCCTTAGGCTTCATACTCTTTGCACTCTTAAATGATTCCAAGATTAATGAAGATTAAACCAAACTAAAATGATATCTGTTTTGCTATGAAACTGGTAGTTACAGTAGTGTTGTATGTTTGTTCAACCTAGACTAAGCATGTTTGTGGATGCATTGTGGTTCTGTGGTTCACGTTTTTCCTTACCACTGCTAGTATAAATTATTGGAAGGATGGGTCTAGATGATAGCTATCTTAACTTCTGTAATAGCAACTGTTTGAACTTAAATACTAGGAGGATTTGAGTTTAACTCTAGATCGGTTTTGTGGAACACTATAATTTGAGCATGTCTACATACATACTGTGAATATTGTTTTGATGCTTACATTATCACAGTTAGTATCAACTGTGGAGGTTAGGATTTTGTGATACATACCCTACATATCTGTATGTCATTTGTAAGGTGTTAAATAGAAGTTTTAATTAATTCTGTCTTTATATCAGACTAAAGGGAACAACTTAAATTGGGCATGTATATGTTGTTGTTGTGACCCTGTTTATCAATGCTTATTTTATCACTGCTAACATTGAATGTTGGATGTTGGAATTTAGTTGATATATACTTGATTTATTGGTATTATTGACTACTGGAGGATTGGAAAGTAGACACCGGTATGGGACGGTAGAATACTAAGGATGGGTTTGGTTTTTAAAACAATACCATTACCCACCTACTTGGAATAAGGATGGGATTAACTAAAAGTTAAGTCCCGTGGATTTGTATTGTCATGGCAACTACTTGTTGAGCGGCAATACCAGGGATTTTGGATGGATTTTATATATGTACTGTTATGGTGCCTCGGTATGAGCTTGAGCCTCAGGACCGATGGCTAGGGAGCGTATATGCATCGGGATGTGTAGCTGGCTACGATGGTTGGAGGTGTACCCTGTTTAGGTATAGGTACATATGCCCACTTCGTGTGCGTTTTAGCATGTTACCTCTATTCAGGTTGAGACCGGCTTGTAGTCCAATGAGAGTCCTTTAGTGTGACTATATATATATTTACGGACTATCAGTTATTGTTGAATTGTTTAGGATGTACATGCGTATCGGGCCTCTATTTGAGTTGTAGTAGTATAGAACTTGCGCGTGGGCCTGACCCACTTCTATTTTTCAGGTACACGACAGTTCCAGGCTTAGACGTGTTCGTGCTAAGCAGAGGTCTCTATTCACTCTTGTGACGATGTAGGGCTCTCTCTATAGTTTTATTTCTGAACGTTTATTACAGTTGTTCTATCTTCCGTTTGGATGTTTAATAGGGGTCCACTAGAGATGGATTCCCAAGTTGTAAACTGATGGAGTTTTGGAGTTTGGGTTTGATGGATTTTAATAATTATAATATTTTGCGGATTCTATTTTTAGTTCCTTCCAGCTTTAATTTCATTTCTTAATTTATTTTGTATTCCATGTTCATTATAAAATATTAATTGTTTGATATTCCCTCGGGTTTGGGCCTGGGCCTGATCAACCCGTGTCTCGGATCCGAGGGGTATCACAGTTGGTATCAGAGCACTCCAGGTTCAAGTGTCTCTAGGATGTTTTCGTATTAAGTCTTCCGCGTAGCGTTTTCTCTTGAATAGAGCTTAAGTTAGGATTCATTGTATTCCTTATGGTTCGTATAGAAAGGGTACTGACGTCTGTCTTTTCGTGTTAACAGATGGTTAACGCTAGAAATGGACAGAACATGCAAGGAACTAGGAAGGAAAGGAGAACGGCACGTAGGCAACAATATCTCCTACGGCGTCAGCAAATGGAGGAAGAGCAGCAAAGGCTTGGGTTTCATGATGACATGGATCAATTTCAGGAGGAACAGGAGAATGTTCAACAGACTCTGGACCAGGTCAGAGATCCAAAGATTCCTCTTTACCTCAATGACCTCGTTGCTTGGGCTATAGAGGCTGGGGTAACAGCTGCACTTCGGAATCAGCCTCAGGTACAGCCGGCACCTGTACCAGCACCAGTGGTTCAGACGGATTCTTGGGGAAA